GAAAGAGTGGTCTAATATGTGAACTGGGCTGTTAGAATCATACTGAGAAGTCAGATAAGCTTTATTAGAGCCAGCTAACGATTATCACAAACAACTGTGCTTGGTGAAAGTACTGTTAGAATTCAGTCAGAGGTATCTAAGAAATGTTTTAGCTTTTGATAGCCATTCTCCCAGCCTTGACTTACAGGGGACCTAAAGCAGCAAAACTTACTGTTGACCATTTAAATTCTTCTTAAGCTACGCTGTTAAGTCAATGTCTGTGCTAGTTAACAGCAGTTGTCTTGGAAGGCTGGAAGGATCTCAGTTCTGTTTAACAGGCTTACCAGTGCAGGTTTTGGTAAGGGTTGTTTTTTAGTAAGATTTAAATTACAAACTTTAAAAACCAAACAGCTGTGTGTGACAACTTCAATTAAACACTTGTCTTTACAGATGAAAAAGAGAGGTTTGACCCTACCCAGTTCCAGGACTGTATTATTCAAGGTTTAACCGAAACTGGCACCGATTTGGAGGCGGTAGCGAAGTTTCTTGATGCTTCTGGTGCAAAACTTGACTATCGCCGCTATGCAGAAACGCTTTTTGACATTCTGGTGGCTGGTGGAATGCTGGGTAAGTCCCTTTGATGAGGCTGCTGTCAGCCTTGGTTCACTTGACTGCAAAAAGCTCCATTTTCTTTCAGTTTAAGAACTCTGTGAAAGAGCCCATTGAGTGTGAAGAACAGAGTTTATCTGTAGTAAAATGTCTGATCATCTTAGTGACTAACAGCAATCAGGTTACTTAGAAATATTCTGTATACCCCACAGTACTTTCGTTTGAGTCAGTTTCTGTTCTTCAAAGTGTAGACTGTAGAAACTTGGCTTAAAAGGAAAATATATTGGCTTGGTTTGTTTTTTTTTTCCAGGAGTGGATCACTTGACTCTGTAGTCAAGTTCCCTTCTGCTGGTGTGAGATGGATGAATGGTTGTTGCAGGTGTGTGGTCAGCGATTGCAATGCCAACAGAGTTGCCCAGACAGATTTTTACCCAGTCCTGTGCTTTGTGTAACCTGACCCTGTTATTTTGGAAAGTAATATTGTTTAAAGAACAATATCATGTGCTTAGGCTTGGAAATGCTATTACTGATCATCTGTTGTTAGCAATAGTGAGGCCATGGGCTCTACCAGATTTCAGGGAGTGAGAAATGAGAGGGTGGTCAAGTCAGCAGAAAACACAGGCTCTTCAAAGATCTACTCGGTGGAATACTATGGATTAGGGCCCTGGAAGGTATGGATATCCATGGTAGCTGGGCAACTTTCAAACATTACTTCTTCCAAGCTCAAGACCAGTGCATCCCTACGAGAAAGAAATGAAGTGGAGGAGGTAGGAGACCTAAATGGATGAGTAAGGGTCTTCTGGAAAAAATTAAATGGAAGAAGGAAATTTACAGGATTTGGAAAACAGGATTGGCCACATGGGAGAAATACAGGAACGTAGTCAAGAGAATGCAGGGATTCAACGAGGAAAGCTAAGGCCCACCTGGAATTAAATCTGGCAAGGGGTATCAAGGACAACAAGGGTTTCTTCAGTACATCAATAAAAAAAGGAAGATTAGGGAAAATGTAAGCCTGCTCATGGGTACCTCCCGTGGCAGAAGACACAGAGAAGACAGAGTTGTTGAATTCCTTCTTGGCTTCAGTCTTCATTGCAAAAGCCAATCCTCTTGAATCCTGGACCCTGGAGAAAAGAGATAAAGTCTGGAGAGAGGAAGTCTTTCCCTCAGTAGAGGAGGACCAAGTTAGAGGCCACTTAGCCAAACTGGACATCCATAAATCCATGGGCCCTGATGGGTTGCATCCATTCTCCTCCTCTACTATGCCCTGGTGAGGCCAACATCTGGAATACTGTGTCCAGCTCTGGGCTCCCCAGTTCAAGAGAGACAGGCAACTACTGGATAGAGTCCAGTGAAGGGTGACAAAGATGACTGGGGGACTGGAGCATCTCTTATGAGGAAAGGCTGAGAGAGCTGGAACTCTTTAGCCTGGAGAAGGCTGAGGGGAGACCTTGTTAATGCCTAAAATATATATATAGGGTGGGTTGCAGGGAAGATGGAGCCAGACTCTTTTTCAGTAGTTTCCAGTGACAGAACAAGGGCAACAGGCACAAGCTGGAACATAGGAAGCTCCATTTAAATGTAAGAATAAACTCATTTACTATGAAGGTGATGAAGCACTGGAACAGACTGCCCAGGGAGGTTGTGGAGTCTCCATCTCTGGAGATACTCAAGACCCACCTAGATGCAGTCCTGTGTAATGTGCTCTAGGGGATCCTGCTTTAGTGGGGGAGTTGGAATAGATGATCTCTAGAGGTCCCTTCCAACTCTTGACAATTTTGTGAACTGAAGGAGTGAAATGTGATGACAAAATATCTTGTGAACTCAAGTGCAGCCTATATGTAAAGAGAGCAAAAAGCAGGAGATGCTCATGGAGCAGGTAAGAAGTAGATGAAGGTAAATGAGGTTGATGAGTAGTTGAAAAAAGTGGTATTTCTAGATTTAGACTTTACATTTCCTGCTTGACTAAGTACTGTTTGGTAGGAAAGGGTTTAGATGGCAGGCACCTGTGTAAAATACAGGCTGAAAAGAGGACCCTTTTGTTGTCCACCTAGACTAGAAAAGTTCTGTCTCAGATTTTAGCATTTATGCAGTAGTTGATGGGGAGAATTTACATGAGAAATTTGGCAGTTGCAGAAAATTTCCTATAATGTAAGAGAAAATGAATTAAAATTGCCTAAATGCTAGGGGAAGGAGAGGAAATCCCTGGCTGTGGGCCAGAGTCAGGCTGGGTGGCAGTTCTGCAGTGGGGGTGGCAGGTGTTGAAGGATGTGTCTCTTTTATGTTCAGGTAGGCTTCACACTGGTCCTGTAGAAATAACAGGTGAGTTGCTTAAACAAATGCTGAAAAGCAAGGCCTTCAAAATGGTTTAACTTCATTAAATATTCCTGCTTATCTTGAAGCTGCATACTAAAACAGTGTTGCATAGTCTGAAATTAACTGTTATGTTCCTTTTAGCAAAAGGCTCTTTTGCTGATGTTACGAGAGCAGGTAGTAAGTAAGTAAAGTAAGTCAACTTGCCTGTCACGTGGAGCGTTGCTGCTTGAAACTGTTAATGTACAAAGTGTTATGGTCTTTGGTTTTACACTGAGTCTTAAGGAGTGCATCCTGTCTTGTGAAGTGTTCCTCCTAGCAATGAGACTGAGGGGGAAGGGGAAGAGGCTGCATTAATGGTGATATAAGGGTTCTTTATTCAGCTCCCTCTCTGTGACAGCTAGCTGAGTAGACTAGCTTTGATCTTTAGTCAGACACGGCAAAAAGAAACCTGGCATCTTGTTGCCTTTCCACCTTTGAATATTCTTACCATGAATGCTTATCTCCATCTTTAAGTCATGTTTCTTACTAATACATATCAAAAGATCTCCCTTATATGGATGCCATAAAAATTGGTGATGAGGTATTATGGCATTGGAGTTGGTGACTTAAATTCACCCTAGTTGGTGTAGCTGCCTGGCTACCAGGGAAATGGATGTCCAGGGCAGTGGTGGTGACCATCCCTGGAGGTAGTTAAGAGTCATATAGACATAGTACTTAGGGATATGGTTTAGTTAAGGACTTGTCAGGGTTAGGTTAAAGGTTGGATTCAATAGTCCTGAACATCTTTTCCAACCAAGTTAATTCTGTGATTCCATGAAATGCCTGCATTAAACTGAAGAAGAATAGTGAAGAAGCATCATCAAATTAGCAGCTAAAAAGCTAAAGTGCCTTTTAAGACTGAAGTTTCAGGCTTGTATCTCTGGGACACTAAATTTTGAAAATGCATTTCTACATGTTTTATTGCCTGTTGTGACTTAGTCTGTTATTTAAAAGACACTTAACAAAGCAGCACTATTGCAACAGACACTAAAAAGACACTTGCTAGGATTAAGCAGTTTTATGACTTCTTTAAGGAAAGAGGAGCTCATATGGTCATGTTAACTTCTCCATATATTAAGGAGATATGCTGCCAGTTAGAGTAGGGGGTCAGAATAAATAAATGTTTAAAGTTCCACTTTAGTAGTAGAGCACATGGAACTGTAGGGATGTCTTTAGTGATCCAATCATTCAGTTTATCATGAAAGGACAACAGGTTGCATATTACTTGAAATTCTTACTGTAGACACTACTCAGTACTCTGGGGAGTAGTATCACTAATGCTGACACCTTTCTTTAGCCCCAGGTGGTACCCTGGCAGATGACATGACACGCACAAACGTCTGTGTATTTGCAGCACAGGAAGACCTAGAAACCATGCAAGCATTTGCTCAGGTTAGTTCTGAAATGAGTACAATTGTACTTAACTCTTTAAGTGGTCAAAGATGAAATGTTTATGGTGTTGGAAGTTTAGGTAAAAATAATGTATAGCTTTAAGAAGCATACTGTAGAGGCAGACTAGCAGCCTCTTAAGCTAAAAGTGCTTTAAAAGAGTTCAGGCCAACTTTACTGAACTTGATTTAAAAAATGCTAATTAGTTCAGAGCAAAAATAACATTATACTTTCTCCTTTTAGGTTTTTAACAAGTTAATCAGGCGTTACAAGTACCTGGAGAAAGGCTTTGAAGATGAAGTCAAAAAGGTATGGAGTGAGTCCTTATCAGCTGACAAATAAACCTTCAAATTCTGCTAGTACAGAAGAGTTTTATCATACAATGGATTAGTAAAATAGAGCACTTAAGTAATTACCAGAAGAACAGTTAGCTTGTATGCCTAGTGGAGAAGACTACTAGTGAACTAGTTAATTTGCCAGTTGAGTAGCTTGATTGAAACAAGTGTCTTTCATGGAGGCAGTAGCCAAACTGTAGGGAGAGATGTAGTTTTATGGCAGCTCTTCTTACTTCTTAATTCGTCTTGCAGTTGCTGCTGTTTCTGAAAGGGTTCTCAGAGTCTGAGCGGAACAAACTGGCTATGTTGACGGGTATTCTGCTAGCCAACGGGACACTTAATGCATCGATTCTCAACAGCCTTTACAATGAGAACTTGGTTAAAGAAGGTATGTGTTGCCCAGCTCTTTAGGGAAGGACGGTGAGAAGTAGGTGGAAATGGTGATGACAGTACACTCCTGCTGCTTACTAGTTTCATCTGATGATAGACTGACCACAGGTTTAGAAAGGTAAACATGTGAAAAGTCTTGCTAGGATGTGAGAAAACTAGTCTTTTCAGAAAGCTTGTTTGTCGGACTTCCCTGCATGGCACTGGGGGTGCTGTCACTAGTGTTGCCCAGCAAGGATGTATTTTGTATTTTGCATAGGGACCTTTCAGAACGCAGAAGGTGTGTCATGTCTTTAGGCTCCTTCCTAAATTGCAGCAAGAAGAGTTGAATTTAGTGTGGAGAAGCCTTCATGATGCTGAGTGGTGAGAGAAATCCAGCATGGAGGAGGCTGCAGTATCCTCAGGCAGAGGTGCTGCAGCCAGTGCTAGGGCTGCCTTGGAGTACAGCTGCTGCTGCTTTGAGCAGGCATCTGGTGAACTAGATGTCCTGTACTCAAGCCTTCTGATTCTCTTTGTTTTGAACTTTAACAATATTATTAGTATTCCTGGTGCACAGGTGTTTCTGCAGCTTTTGCAGTGAAGCTGTTTAAATCATGGATAAATGAGAAAGATATTAATGCAGTGGCTGTCAGTCTTCGCAAAGTAAACATGGATAACAGGCTGATGGTGAGTACTGCTGAAATTACTGATGTACTGCTTAAGCCAGCTCACTAAATAGCATATACTGGCAAAATACTCAACATGCATTTCTTTTGTGAAAGAGTTGTTGTAAACTTAATTTTCAGGAACTCTTCCCAGCCAACAAACAAAGTGTTGAACACTTCTCCAAGTACTTCACTGAAGCAGGACTAAAAGAACTTTCTGAGTATGTTAGGAACCAGCAAACTATAGGAGCTCGGAAGGAGCTGCAGAAAGAACTTCAGGAGCAGATGTCACGGGGAGATCCATTCAAGGATGTAAGTATATGTCTGTAGACAAGGTGTAGGTGTTGAGTGTTTGGGTTTTACTTTGTAGCAACTTCGCTCAAATTACTTGAAATACAATAGCATCTAATGCTAATCTGAAGATATATGCCTAATTATATACTGAACTCAAACACCTAGCTCTCACTAAAAATTAAAATAAGACCAGTAGTCTTAATGTCCTGAATCCTGCTGTATGATTAAGAGGATTGTTTGTGGTTCTGAAGGCTTCTAGGCTGCCTTTAGAACTGAAGTTTTAATTTCGCTTTGTGTCAGATGCATCCTGTGTGCTGACTCTTATATTCTAATTGGCAGATAATCTTGTATGTGAAGGAGGAGATGAAGAAAAACAACATCTCAGAACAGACCGTGGTAACCATCATCTGGTCAAGTGTAATGAGTACAGTGGAATGGAACAAAAAGGAGGAGCTGGTAGCAGAGCAAGCCATTAAGCACTTGAAGGTATTGTAAATTAAGTATGGACTCTTGAACCCGTTGGGTAGGGTTTGTGCTTTCCTCAGTCTCCAGCTCCTTTTTGACTGAATTAAAACCTACAAACCCTCTTAATACAGAGACAGCATTAGAAGGGAAATTTTTCCCCCTGTAACTTGTATTATAGTCCAAGTTACTGAGGCAAAAGCAATAAGACTTTGGCAGAAGCACTGTGGGATGGGACAGGGGTTGCAGATTTCTAAGCAGTGGCTGATGGAAACTGCATCAGTCTAGTCAGGCAACAAATGTGACATGCTCTGTGTGTGCCAATTTTTCATTTCTGTTACAGCAATACAGTCCTCTACTTGCTGCCTTTACTACCCAAGGTCAGTCAGAGCTGACTCTTCTGTTGAAGATTCAGGAGTATTGTTATGATAACATTCACTTCATGAAGGCCTTCCAGAAAATAGTGGTGCTCTTCTATAAAGGTAACTTCTGTGAGGTTGTAGTTTGGAGGTGGGGAGCAGGGGAAGAAGACAAGGGAGTGTCAAGTTGTTCAGTTCTAGCAAGACCTGTAGGGAAGCACAGTGCTACACTGAACTTTATGAGCTGATGAACCTTCTACCTTCTGTTTGCTAAGATGGAGCAGTAAAATGAAAAAGTAATGTGGCTGACCTTGGCACGTGGGGAAACACTCTTCTAGATGAGGATACTGCCTGTTAGATTTTAAGAGTTGTGGTAGCTAAATTTAGATTTAAGGCTATTTGACCTCTTTAAGTGAGGTAAAGATACATGAAAGTGTGTTCCTCTTGGTTCTCTGTAAACATTGACTGTGAGCAGCCAGACATGGAGACCACACCTTCTGTTTGCTAAGATGGAGCAGTAAAATGAAAAAGTAATGTGGCTGACCTTGGCACGTGGGGAAACACTCTTCTAGATGAGGATACTGCCTGTTAGATTTTAAGAGTTGTGGTAGCTAAATTTAGATTTAAGGCTATTTGACCTCTTTAAGTGAGGTAAAGATACATGAAAGTGTGTTCCTCTTGGTTCTCTGTAAACATTGACTGTGAGCAGCCAGACATGGAGACCACCAAGGTATTCTAGGGTTCTGTAGGTTTAAACAGTTGTTAAAAGGTGATGCTGAAAACCATGCTGTGCACCAGTGGAAACACCACAGGAATGTAAGGAAACATCTTGTTAAACTGAAAACTATATTGTGAAATTTAAAAAACACCAACTTAAAAACAAAAGTCAAGTACACCACTTCCTGTGGTATACTTTAGGCTCTAAGGTCGTTAAATGGGTTTATTGTTCTTATCAGTTGACTGGTTTTCCTTAAGAGCGTGTCATCTCAAATAGCTGTGAAACATTCCAGGCTCAGGAAATCCACTGCAGCCAGTCTGAAATGCACAGTGGTCAGAATTCTAAAATAGGAGGCACTTCTAGTGCATGTGTATCCAGCCATGCCCAGGAAAGGAGTATGGATTGTGACACTTCCAGGGGAGGAAGCAAAGGCTGCCATTCAGGTTCTTGGTAGCTGGTAGTCAGTGGTTTGTTGTGTTAATACTGTTCTTGCACACCTTACAGCTGAAGTTCTGAGTGAGGAACCCATCCTGAAGTGGTATAAAGATGCACATCTTGCAAAAGGAAAGAGTGTTTTTCTGGAACAAATGAAAAAGTTTGTTGAATGGCTCAAGAATGCTGAAGAAGGTAACTAGCAGCTTAGCTCAAGAGTTGAGCTTGTTCATTTTGGGAACCTCAGGGCAATAATGCTTGGTTGGGGGGGGGGGGGGCCCCTCTGAGAGTGCCCCATGGTGCTGGCTGGAAAAGCTTGCTAGTGCAATCCAGGTGGATCTAATAGCAGCTACTATGTGGGATGCAAGCTGGGGGCTGTGGGGGAGTGACTACTGGCAGCCTGTTGAGGATGTCTCTCTGTTTCAGAGTCGGAGTCTGAAGCCGAAGAGGGTGACTGACCTGTGAACCTCTGTCCTCAGTAAAGCAAACAGGAGCTGTAGATGAGTGTCATGTCTCGTGTCCTGATTCTTGCATCCTACCTCCCTGTATCAAGCATGATATAAGGGCTCTCATGGCAATTTATTTTAATTGTTTTCTATAGTTACTAAAATACTGGGTTTAGTTTTTAAAAACACATTTTAAGTAGCTTACAGGAGCTGTTATAGATTTTACTCTTAACCTGCATTTGTCCTTTCAGTTATATTCTACCTCCTGTATTTTCTACTGTAATAATGTAATTTAAGGCCTTCCACAATGAAATTCATTTTACCCTTTGAGTTTTCTATCTCTAGTTGAGTAGACATGATACAGTGAATGACATTTATGGCAGTTCTGTTTGCAAATTAAACTGTAAAAAGCCTATAAAGTGAAGAGGCTGTGGCTTGTGTGGTAACTTGGTGTCACTTCAATCCATACCGCTTGCTCTAAAATATCCCCCTTCACAGGTGGTTGTCCATCTCCCCAAGGACTCCTTCATCTCATTACTATACTTCCAGCATAAAGCAATCCTTTATTCCAAGTGCTGGGTGAGATGGCTGCCCTGCTTCTGTGAGCTCAGCATCCTGCTGTAGAGAGACCATTCTGGTGAAGAGTGACCATGGTGGGAGTGTTAAGAAGAGTTACATCTCTGCACCTGCTGGCTGTCACAGCCAGGGGCTGCCAGGCAGCTGGGCACCAGTTGTGGGAGTCTCCTGGAAGAGAGAATGGTTCACATCCAGCTGCCCAGCAGCTGTGTAGAGCCCTGGCAGCAGGGCAGGAGGCTGCTGGCATGTGCTGCTTGGTACATGTGACTGCCAGAAGGTAAGGCAGACATAACTATCCTCTCACATTGAAGTTTAGAGATTATTTTATGCTGGCATGTGGCAGGTTAAACCAAAGTTTATCTGCTCCCAAAACCCTTAAATTCTTAATTGAAATTTGAAGGACAGCTCATAATTCAAGAAAGATTGGTGAAAGAGTGGTCTGGACTGATGTAAGCTAACAATGAGCATTAACTGAAATACTGGTAACCAGAGTACACTTAATTAAAAAAAAAAAAAGGTGATCATAATGCAATATTTTCAATACTACAGTGATCTTTCTTTGTAACTTTTTTTTTTTTTAAACAAATAAAGGCCATTCTTGCACTTACTGGCAAAAGCTGTCTCTGTTCTCTTATGCAGAAAGGAACCATACACTAAGGGGTAAAAATTAATCTTAGGTCTTTTGCTATTCCAATGGCAGTTGAATCTAACAATTAAAATAGTACTTCCTTGCTGTTGGGAGGCTTATTTTAGAAAGCAGTGGGTTCTGTCTTCCATGTGTTTAAAGTGAGCTGTAATGAGATTTTTATTCATTGAGGAAACACAACCAAGGTCATCAGTATCTTTTTCTTAGATAAGTTTTATGCCAGCAGCTCATTTAACTTCAGTATCCAAAAAAATCATAATATAAAATAGAGCACTTACAAAATAACTGTATACAATAAATATTTTAGCATTTTTTACATTTCTTTGGTGGACTGACGTCTGTATCAGCCAGCTCAGCTACAGGAGGCAGCACCCTTTTTTCCTTTTCCAGTGGGAAGAAAAAAGGATGTTTCAGTGCTTCTTCCAGAGTAATGCGCTTGGCTGGGTCATACTCCAACATCTTTTCAATGAGGTCAAAGAGGCTCTCATGGTCAGAGTCACGGCAGGTCATGAATGCCTCCATGAAGAAAACAACAAAACTTGTTTTTTTTTGAATCTTCCAATTGCACTTAAAGCTCCTCTCCCAAAAACATTCTCCCTCTGTCATCTTACCTTCAGTGGCTTACAGCGCCGCGACACGTATCTGCCAGCAGAACTATGTTCATCCCAATCCAGCCGGTCATGATGGAAATATTTGCGTTTCCTTAAACAAACAGACCACAGTTCATTACTCAAAGATTCTGTGTTGTCTCTTCACTAGAAGTTTATCAGCATGTTTGTTCACAACTCGGGAATATTCCACAAGTGGCCAGCTTATTTAATAGAGCAAAAGGATGAATCTGTATTTACATTTTTTAAATGGCTAGTAAATCAAATATGACATTTTTTAAATGAAACTACAGAAAAATAGCATTACCTGGTTTTCTTAATCATATGACTTGGCAATGGCCCCAGTATTCGCTCCATCATAGCCAAGTGTTCTTTGCTGTCATGGGTCTGGAGGGAAATCAAGATAGATGTGATTTCTCATTGTTAAAGGAAGTTACCAAAAACCACGTAACCTTCATTTTTTTTACTGTACCCCACATGAATTTCAGATTAAGGAAAAAGGAGAGGCTTTACTCATCTGTTTCTTGAAATAATTTAGAATCTACTGGAGGTTTTTTCCCTTAGCCCTTCTTTTTTTTTTCTTTGTTCATAAGTTTCAAGCCAGCAATACCGTCAAGATGACAGAATACAGGTATTTGAGTAGTACACGCTAATAGATAAAGCTACATCTGGTATTAGTGCATCTTACAGATTTCAGAGGTTAACAGGATCAGCCTTCCTATCGAGCTGGTACCAAAATGTTTACTGAAAGACATGAGACCGTTCCTTTGTGCTTGTATCTTCTGTTACCTTCAACTTGACTTTACAGAGAAATGCAGCTTCATTTCTTGCATAGACTATTCTTCTTAGTCTCCATCAGTCTAGCATGTTTTGAGGAAGCTGGGGATAGTTATACATATCATGTGGTTCATAGTTACCTACCGGAAATACTGTGAAACCAAGGTAGTATTCTATGAGAATGCAGCCAATGCTCCAAACATCACAGGGTTGTGACCATCCCAGTGCTGTGAAAAGATTCAGAACGTTCATGTTTATATCAGGCTGCAAACAGTTACGAGCTCAAGCAAGATATGCTACACTTCTGTAGCACCCTTCAATAGCTTACAGAAAAAATCTTAAGTGAAGGATCAGCCTAACAGACTTACACTGACCTAAGATAACTTCAGGAGCTCTGTAATGTCTTGTAGACACCAAAGTGCTGTGGTACTCATCGTCATATGTTGCACTCCCAAAGTCTACAACTTTGATATCAGGATTTTTTAGTCTGCGTTCATCACATTTCTGAAATAAAATAACAGGATACAAGTGAGCAAATAAACCCAGAGGATGGCTGAGGGGGAAGTGGGGAAGAGGGTAGCACCTTACCAGTTTGGGGTTATACTCTTCTACATAGTCAGACTTCACAAATAAAATATTTTCTGGTTTCAGATCTGTATGTGTTAACTTGTTTGAATGCAAAACTGCAAAATAACAACTATAGTTAGCAAATATTACAAAAAATCCCACCACAAAAACAAATAAAGCAAAAAAACCCACCATACTTACAGTTCACAGATTTGCAGATCTGATATGCCATCTGCCTAATATGGTCCAGCCGAAAGGGCAGAAAACCGTTCTCTTTAATAAAGTCATAGGTGCTGAGCCCCAGTAGCTCAAAAACAATGCAGACATGTCCATGGTACTCAAACCATTCTAACATCTGGACACAGCGACTGCAAAAGCAGGAAAATACATTAATTGCAGCAGGCAGTTGTGTAACACTAAGGTACATGTCATGTTACAGAAAGTGATGTCACAGAAGTCTTGAAGTCAAAACAAAGTACAGTTAGCTCTATAATACTTACTATGTACTGCTGGGATCTGATGCATTGAGATGTTCCAGTACTTGCACTTCTGCACGTGCAGCTTCAGAGTACCTATCAACATTTTTTACTATTTTCACAGCTACATGTCTGCCTTCCCTGAAAAGAGATTTTTAACAGTGATTAATTGGTAGTTTTAACTAAGAATACTCAGAAATTACCACCATATACAAAACCTTTTCTGGTAAGGTTCCACTAAGTCCATACTGACTTAGTATAACCAAGTTGTATCTATGTACAAACTCGACAAATTTAAATTTTGAAAACACACTTGATACCTTACATATCAGTATTATTCTTAAAGGTTAAAAGCCCCATTTACCTCTTTTTTGTATTTATGTATGCTGGGCTAATAGTAGAGAAACCTCCACATTTCTCAGCCTAACACAACTGTCAGGCAAAAATAACAGCTGCCTTCAGTCACGTGAGTAGTGAAATTGTAATTCAGGCATCAAATGCCTTCTATAGGGACTAGAACGACAATTTAACAGCAAACCTACAGTCAAACACAAAATACATAATTGATTTATAATATACTCACTGCTAGAACCCAAATGGCACTTCATCATCACAGATTATACTTTTGGTAAGCTACCTGATGTCCAGCCCTTGGGTGGCCAGGCCCCCAGTGAGGGGGGCAGCTTTACCCCACATTCTCTAGGCCACCTCCCCCCAGCACTCTTTGATCTCTACCAGGCTGGGATGCACCTGCGGAAGATGCACCCATCACCTCAGCCACCAGTCCTGCACAATCCTCCTGCCTGGGTGCTGTTTTTAGCATGATGTACTAACAAATTTGTTTGCCAACTGTGGTAGACTTAAAGGAGGACACAGAATAGCATATAGAGAAGATAAATCCTGATACAATCAGAAAGCAGTTCACAAACCACACTGTGATAGTGTTAGAAAAAAAATTACATGTATTTAATGAAAAATACTTACTCTTTGTGATCAATGCATTCCACTACTTTTCCAAAAGCACCTTCACCCAAAGTAGCAACAATCTCATCTATAAAGAAAAGAACTCTCAGTCACAAAAGTTGTAAAGTCACTCATCTATTAAAAAAACAAGCAAACAAACAAAAATAAACCAAAAAGACTAAGCACTATCACTTAAGATTATTCTAGACTGTGCTTCTTTAAATTGTAAATATCTAGTTCGAGAGATGTTATGGGACAACTCTCATCAAGGCACATTTATCTCATTCTAGCAGGTTCATTAACTTCATTTACTGGTTTTTGGGGGAAAAAAAGGGAAAAAGAAAAAAGAAGTATTTAAGTTCTGCAGTAAAAGACTAACAATCCCCACCCCCAAACAAAAAAGACAGAAAGAAAAGACTTCCAAAGCCCCCTTCTCATCTTATGCTAGAAGAACTTAGTCTATCTGAAAAGTTAATAAATTTTGAAAAATATTCTATACATCTTGCACTTAGTACGTCTCCACTCTGACAGATCAGGTGACCCTCCTCATCATCCTCTACACTCCCGGATCTTTTCCTTCGATGACTCTTCTGGAACGGCACCAAGATCGTCCAGCCAATCAATAAACCCAAGTGAATTCAGGTCAGAATACGAATTCATTCAGCAGGGAGATATTCAGGCATTCAGATACACGCCAGGCCACAAACGGTTGGCAGGAGCAATTTCAAATTCAGTCCCCAGAAATTCACAGGGCACATAGTTTATGTTACAGGAGAAAAACATGGCAAGGAACAGATTTTCAGAAGAGATATGCAAAGTGGCAAGGCAACAAAAAAATTACAACACAATTGTTTTTCTTTCTTAAAAGACTGGTTCACTGAATTTTACTTTAGGATTTCAGTGCCCGTATTTTTTTATAAGCAAAAAGATTTAATAATTTTCTTTTACATATATATGTATGAAAAAATAGCCCTGTGGCCACATTAACACCCATCTTACTCTGTAAGAATTTATTTGTTTTACAATCATAAACAGCATATACATTTACTTCAGACTGTCAGCTGAAGACCTTCAACTATAACTCCTAGCTTCAGCTTTTTAAAGAGTTAAATATATAACAAAGATCACAAAAACTGCCCTGCTAGCGGGCAGTCATCATACATATCTGATTCTACAGATTTTTCAGTGATACCTACAACACTTTACTAAATAAAACTTCTTAAAAAGTAAAAATCTGACATTATCTCCTTGCTCTTTCAGTGATACTTTGTCAAAAGCAAGCTTAAAAGTTTGTGCTTGTTTTTTTGAGTAGGGCTGAAATAAATGCTTGCCATAATAAAAATTCTGAAGGCACGAAAGTGATGCCTGTATTTCAAGTACTCCAATTGATGGTTATTATTAATTAATCTGCTCAAATATATCCAATGAACAAATAGCAAGCCTGTCTTCTGTGCTATCACAAGCATGCCTACAAACTGTACATTTTTACTGAAGGAAATAAAACCCTCATCTACCACTGCTAGCTAAAGGAATAACCTACTATCAACAGTTTTCCGCAAACCCCCCACTGCCCAGGTGAGAATCTATCTTCTTAAAATAAAAAACATCCTAAATTAAAATTGGTCACACCACCTGTGAATGATGATGATGACAGGTAGTGTGATGTGTCTTGTATTTCCTTTTGTAACTACTCGCCCCACTATGACCCGATGATTTGCTACTGTGGTGCCCAGTATCATGTCCTTGATCGTACTCGTTTCTGTATTCTTCAACATAACGTCGTTCATGATGGTCTCTTTCATTTACAGATTTGGTTTCTGAATGGGTACTACAAACAAAGGATCAAATACACTTAATTAAAATAACCCCTACCAAGACAGCTTTCTTGTTTTAAGCTGCAAAACACCTCCCTTGAAATATCTTCAACTCAAAAATGAATATATTATCAGATGCCCTGAGAAGAATAATAAAATCTTAAAACATATGTTTGCTGACACCAAAAATCAAAAGTTATTTACCTGTCAGGAAGTTTAGAAAGATCATGTTTGCAGTGCTTGTTCTCTTGTGCACCACTTAATGATGACCTCTTTCTCTTATTAGCACTGTTGCATCTTCTGTGATCAGGAGTTTCTTTTTTATCCCTAGAATGCCACACCTGTAACAAAGATATTTTGCTCTTTTAATTACATCCCATAGACAAACAATGCCTTTTCATAGTCATTATTTCACACAATGTTTAGGCGTTGGAAGGACCTCAAAAGATCATCTATAGTCCAACCCCTCTGACAGAGCAGGATCCCCTAGAGTAGGTTACACAAGAATGTGTCCAGGTGGGTTTTGAACGTCTCTAAAGAAGGAGACCGTTTTCATCACTCTCACAGTGAAAAAGGTTTTCCTCACGTTGAGGTGGAACCTCCTATGCTCCAGCTTGCACCTGTTGCCTCTTGTCCTATTATTGGACATTACTTATCAAATTAACACTATAATGAAGATTGTACTTTCCCTCAACTACCCAATTTTCATTTTTTCTTTACTCTTTCTTCCATCTAATTTTTACATTCAAGAGCCTTTTTAAATTAACCATTTTTTATAGGAAAACACAAACCCATTAGCTACTTCCTACATAAGATTTTAAAACAATGTATCATGGCTCAAACACTAAACACATGCTTTAAGGTGTTATTTCTGCAAAGCTGCTCAGGAACCCAGTGGTGCATGTGCCAGAAAAAAGGTAAGCTTCCATGCACTTAAAAAGGGCATACAAATATTGCCCTGCATGCTTGGCTTCAGGGAACTGGTCATCAACTTGTACCATGCTTCTTTCAACAGACTCCTGAAGAGTTCACAGAATCTCAGAATAGCAGGGATTGAAAGGGACCTCTGGAGATCAACTCCAACCCTCTGCCACACCAGGATCACCTAGGAAAGGCCACACAGAAACACATCCAAATGGGTCTTTAAAGTCTTCACTGAAGGAGACTCTGCAACCTCTCTGGGCAGCCTGTCCCAGGGCTCCATAGGCCTCACAGAAAATAAGTTTTTCCTCATGTTGAAGCGGGACTTCTGTTGTTTCAGTTTTTGTCTTTTACCCCTTGTGCTATCACACGGCATCACTGGACCACTCTTCCTGACACCGACCCTTCAGATATTTGTCAATATTAAGATCTCCTCTCAGTCTTCTCCAAACTAAAGAGCCCCAGGTCTCTCAGCCTTTCCTGAGACAGGTGTTCCACGCCCTTAATCATCCTTGCAGTTGGACTCTCTCTAGTATATCCCTGTCCCTTTTGAACTGGGAAGCCCCAAACTGGACACAGCACTCCAGATGTGGTCTCACTAGCGCAGAGTCCAAATTAGCACTGAAACAGAAGCCAAGTCAAATGACACTAACATTTATCTCCTAGTTACTTCGCTCAAAGCATTATCTCCTTGCTCTTTCAGTGATACTTCGTCAAAAGCAAGCTTAAAAGTTTGTGCTTGTTTTTTTGAGTAGGGCTGAAATAAATGCTTGCCATAATAAAAATTCTGAAGGCACGAAAGTGATGCCTGTATTTCAAGTACTCCAATTGATGGTTATTATTAATTAATCTGCTCAAATATATCCAATGAACAAATAGCAAGCCTGTCTTCTGTGCTATCACAAGCATGCCTACAAACTGTACATTTTTACTGAAGGAAATAAAACCCTCATCTACCACTGCTAGCTAAAGGAATAACCTACTATCAACAGTTTTCCGCAAACCCCCCACTGCCCAGGTGAGAATCTATCTTCTTAAAATAAAAAACATCCTAAATTAAAATTGGTCACACCACCTGTGAATGATGATGATGACAGGTAGTGTGATGTGTCTTGTATTTCCTTTTGTAACTACTCGCCCCACTATGACCCGATGATTTGCTACTGTGGTGCCCAGTATCATGTCCTTGATCGTACTCGTTTCTGTATTCTTCAACATAACGTCGTTCATGATGGTCTCTTTCATTTACAGATTTGGTTTCTGAATGGGTACTACAAACAAAGGATCAAATACACTTAATTAAAATAACCCCTACCAAGACAGCTTTCTTGTTTTAAGCTGCAAAACACCTCCCTTGAAATATCTTCAACTCAAAAATGAATATATTATCAGATGCCCTGAGAAGAATAATAAAATCTTAAAACATATGTTTGCTGACACCAAAAATCAAAAGTTATTTACCTGTCAGGAAGTTTAGAAAGATCATGTTTGCAGTGCTTGTTCTCTTGTGCACCACTTAATGATGACCTCTTTCTCTTATTAGCACTGTTGCATCTTCTGTGATCAGGAGTTTCTTTTTTATCCCTAGAATGCCACACCTGTAACAAAGATATTTTGCTCTTTTAATTACATCCCATAGACAAACAATGCCTTTTCATAGTCATTATTTCACACAATGTTTAGGCGTTGGAAGGACCTCAAAAGATCATCTATAGTCCAACCCCTCTGACAGAGCAGGATCCCCTAGAGTAGGTTACACAAGAATGTGTCCAGGTGGGTTTTGAACGTCTCTAAAGAAGGAGACCGTTTTCATCACTCTCACAGTGAAAAAGGTTTTCCTCACGTTGAGGTGGAACCTCCTATGCTCCAGCTTGCACCTGTTGCCTCTTGTCCTATTATTGGACATTACTTATCAAATTAACACTATAATGAAGATTGTACTTTCCCTCAACTACCCAATTTTCATTTTTTCTTTACTCTTTCTTCCATCTAATTTTTACATTCAAGAGCCTTTTTAAATTAACCATTTTTTATAGGAAAACACAAACCCATTAGCTACTTCCTACATAAGATTTTAAAACAATGTATCATGGCTCAAACACTAAACACATGCTTTAAGGTGTTATTTCTGCAAAGCTGCTCAGGAACCCAGTGGTGCATGTGCCAGAAAAAAGGTAAGCTTCCATGCACTTAAAAAGGGCATACAAATATTGCCCTGCATGCTTGGCTTCAGGGAACTGGTCATCAACTTGTACCATGCTTCTTTCAACAGACTCCTGAAGAGTTCACAGAATCTCAGAATAGCAGGGATTGAAAGGGACCTCTGGAGATCAACTCCAACCCTCTGCCACACCAGGATCACCTAGGAAAGGCCACACAGAAACACATCCAAATGGGTCTTTAAAGTCTTCACTGAAGGAGACTCTGCAACCTCTCTGGGCAGCCTGTCCCAGGGCTCCATAGGCCTCACAGAAAATAAGTTTATCCTCATGTTGAAGCGGGACTTCTGTTGTTTCAGTTTTTGTCTTTTACCCCTTGTGCTATCACACGGCATCACTGGACCACTCTTCCTGACACCGACCCTTCAGATATTTGTCAATATTAAGATCTCCTCTCAGTCTTCTCCAAACTAAAGAGCCCCAGGTCTCTCAGCCTTTCCTGAGACAGGTGTTCCACGCCCTTAATCATCCTTGCAGTTGGACTCTCTCTAGTATATCCCTGTCCCTTTTGAACTGGGAAGCCCCAAACTGGACACAGCACTCCAGATGTGGTCTCACTAGCGCAGAGTCCAAATTAGCACTGAAACAGAAGCCAAGTCAAATGACACTAACATTTATCTCCTAGTTACTTCGCTCAAAGAGGAAACACTAAATAACTTGTTACACGTTTTTTATTTCACTTCCCAATCGTGAATCGGTTCTAAGTCACAAACTGCTTCTCAGGCCGACCAGGCCGGGTTCGGCGGCGACGCTGCAGCGCGGCCCGTGGGCTGCGGGAAGAGGCAGCGGCGCCCGCGCCCCCCGCACACTGAGCGCCCTAACGCGAAGCCATGGAGCGCCAGGTTTCACTAAAGGGAGACCCATGTCTCACCAAATCCTCGCTCTGGCAGCAGGCTCCGTTCTCGACCCCGAGAAGGGGCACGGGAAAGGCCTCCGGCCTCCCTCGCTAAGGCGACCGCAGCCATTTTCTCTCGGCACGGAACAAGGCACGAGTACAGAACATGGCGGCCGCCTGGAGACGGGGACCCGGAGGTGCCTCGGTCGCCCCACC